GCGTTTGGATAAGCTGTTAAGTTTTGGTTTAGAGTTAATCTTTTTTGTGGTGCAGATCTCCCTTTTATTACATTTAGAGTGTTGTGGGTTTTCGGTTTAGTTTAAAATATCACCTTGAGTTTGGTGTAACCACCCAGTTTAGAGTTTGGACCTTTGGAGATTCTTATTTTGGTCCAAAACCCAGTAATCTTTGCCCAGTGGGACATCCCTACTTATTTGTACTTTGTTTTAATTCCCCACAGGCAGAATTAGTTTTATTATTCCCAACCTGTGGATGGAAAGATTTATGTTTTTTTGTAGTTGTAAATAAACCTGATCATCATTTTAACTTTTAAATCCCACGTTACTGTCCCTTCCTTTTTGCACACGAGCCTAACTCCCCAGGAAGAGTGGTAACACCACTCGCATCACGCTCATAAGTGACCAAAACAAAGCAGCATGGAGACACTCCGTCTCCAACCACCTCTCAGGCAGCAGCCTGCAATCCCAAGTTCTACACGTCACCAGAACATAACCAACCAACACAATAAAAGCAGTGTTATACAAAATGGAAGGTCTGTAGTGTTTATTCTCTTACAGTAAGAATTTATCAAATTTTTTGAGGAATTTATTAGATTTTTTTGGTCTTTATTAACTGTGCAATAGAAAAATAATCATTAGATTAATTGTCTAAATAGTCATTAGAAAAGTCGACTATTCGATAAAATAATCGTCAGAATAATCGTTTTAAAAATAATCGTTTACCCCCAGCCCTACCGTAATAATAATATAATGTAGACATGTGCATATATAGACCTGACCGTAATAATAATATATTGTAGACATGTGCATATATAGATCTGACTGTAATAATATAATGTAGACGTGCATATATAGATACGACTGTAATAATAATATAATGTAGACATGTGCAAATGTAGATCTGACTGTAATAATATAATGTAGACATGTGCATATATAGATATGACTAATAATAATATATTGTAGACATGTGCATATATAGATACGACTGTAATAATAATATAATGTAGACATGTGCATATATAGATATGACTAATAATAATATATTGTAGACATGTGCATATATAGATACGACTGTAATAATAATATAATGTAGACATGTGCATATATAGATATGACTAATAATAATATATTGTAGACATGTGCATATATAGATACGACTGTAATAATAATATAATGTAGACATGTGCATATATAGATATGACTAATAATAATATATTGTAGACATGTGCATATATAGATACGACTGTAATAATAATATAATGTAGACATGTGCATATATAGATATGACTAATAATAATATATTGTAGACATGTGCATATATAGATATGACTAATAATAATATATTGTAGACATGTGCATATATAGATACGACTGTAATAATAATATAATGTAGACATGTGCATATATAGATATGACTAATAATAATATATTGTAGACATGTGCATATATAGATACGACTGTAATAATAATATAATGTAGACATGTGCATATATAGATATGACTAATAATAATATATTGTAGACATGTGCATATATAGATACGACTGTAATAATAATATAATGTAGACATGTGCATATATAGATACGACTGTAATAATAATATAATGTAGACATGTGCATTCTCACGAGGTTATCGTTGCCTACGTAGGCATGACGTCAGAGCAAGCCGGTGTTAAGTCAGACTCAAACCTAACCAGTATGCACTGCGCGCCGATCACCGGTGATCTAATCTACGCAGAACTGGCTCTAGAACACGACCAATGTTTGCTGGGATGTGTTACGTGTGGAATTGTGTGACGACACAATGCTCCCTTGTGAACCACGCCTTCGAAACCTCACTGTGCACTTGCTCCAAGTGCACTTTGCAGAAGGCCGCAGGGCGAGTAGTAGGACTTGCCCCTAGTCCAGGGGTGTCAAACTCAAACTCACATGGGGCCGAAATGAAACTCTGGGACGGAGTCGAGGGCCAAACTTAATATTTTTTGAAAAAGTGATGGCAAATTTGCACATTTTCTTTATCAACATAAATGCAATTTTGAACCTTTAAATTTGGAAACAAACTTATTTCTGCATTAACACTGAATGTGGAATAACCAAATTACACACGAGCAAGTCAGTTTTAAATAAAAGGCATCAGTGGTATTCATTACTTGTGGTATAATCAGCATTTTAAAAATCTATTCAGGATTTATGTTTTCCTGTTTATTCATTTTTCTTATTTTTTATTCTCCTTTTTTTCTCCTATAATACGCGTCATCGCTGCTGAGGAACAATAAAGGGATTTTCTATTCTATTCATCTATCTGCAGCCTTTCCACTTCCTGTTTACTGTAGGTTAAATCTTTTCTCACGGGCCAACAACAAAATAAAAATATAATTTTATCTTAAATGAAAATGCAACATCTGACCTGTTAACTTTCATGTTTTGGAGCAGAAAAAGAGCAGAAAACCAACATATTTAAAGCTCAGTTTGCTCCACTGGTTTACTGTGATGTTCACCTGTTCCAGCCAGATACCTGCGTCATGGGGTTGATCTGAGCTGAGGAGGAGACTCCTGTTGTTTTGTTCATCTTCATCATAATAATGACAACATTAGATGACAACAGGTGCTCACATAGGTTTGTGCTGATGAACATGTTGTTGTGTGTCGGGGAGGAAACACGACAGCAGCCACAGAGTCATGCTGGTTTGAGCGTGTCGCTGCTCGCTGGAGTTATATCAGCTCTGTCTGGACGTTAGTTGGAAAACTTTCTTTTTCAGTCGTGAACACATTACTGAGCGGCTAGAATCTCCGTTTCTGGGCTTCAACGTCAGAAAACAGCTGAGTGAACTCGGCGCTGAGTGAGAGGAGTGTTTAGTTTGTCCGAGACGGCATAGCTGCAGACACCAGCAGCAGGCGCTGGAAAAAACACAAAGGAGGGGGCGCGTCGGCTCCGCGCTGACGCCGCAAAGCATCATGGGAGTTTAAGTCTTTGCGATAAAATCGGCCAGCGGGCCAGTTTTAATACATTTTTGATATTTATGTCACAGGCCACATAAAAATGCTCCACGGGCCGCATCTGGCCCGCGGGCCTTGAGTCTGACATATGTGCACTAGTCTGTGCTATGAACATAACATCTATGATAGCTTCCAGTCAGGGTTTCGTAGAGCTCATTCTACTGAAACAGCTCTTCTTAGGGTCTCTAATGACCTTCTGACCCACAGTGATATAGGGGACTGTTCTGTTCTGGTCCTGCTGGACCTGACTGCAGCCTTTGACACTGTTGACCATCAACCTGCTACTGGAGAGGCTGAGAGACTGGGTAGGCCTATCAGGATCTGCTCTGGAGTGGTTCTCCTCTCATCTTTCTGAGCGCTCCTTTTCTGTGGCCGTCTCCAAGTTTAGGTCCTCCACCACCTCCCTTACCCATGGTGTCCCACAAGGTTCTGTGCTGGGGCCTCTACTCTTCCTCCTCTATCTGTTTCCTCTTCAGCACATCCTGAGCTCCTTCAAATGAATCTCCTACCATCTTTATGCAGATGACATCCAACTGTACATCTCCTTTAAGCCCCATGAGATGTCTAAGCTACAGCTGTTACACACCTGCTTAGACTCTATCAAAACCTGGACGGCTGGGAGCTTTCTTCAGCTGAATGAAGATAAGACAGATCCTCATCTGTGCCCCAGACAAGCTGGTTCCCAAAGTCAGAGACTCTCTTGGTCAGCTTGCTTCTCACACCAAACCTTCCGTCAGGAATCTTGGCGTGACCTTTGACCCAGCTCTCACCCTGGATTCTCATGTCAGTTCTCTTGTTCGCTCTTCCTTCTTCCATCTCAGGAACATTGCTAAGATGAGTCCCATTCTGTCCCGCTCTGAACTTGAGACAGTTCTCCACACCTTCATCTCCTCACGCTTAGACTACTGTAACTCTCTTTTCACGTGTCTGAGCAGAACCTCCCTGAACCGTCTACAGGTGGTTCAGAACGCCTGTGCTCGGCTTCTGACCAAGTCCTCCAAACACACCCACATCACCCCGCTTCTCCTCCAGCTTCACTGGCTGCCAGTCAACTTCAGGGTTCATTTCAAGATCCTGGTTCTGGTCTACAGGGCCTTACATGGACAAGCACCATCTTACATTGGTGATCTTCTTAGTCCCTACACCCCCAGCAGGTCCCTGAGGTCCGGTGACCAACGCCTACTGGTTGTGCAGCACCAGGCTAAAGACCAAAGGTGACAGATCATCTGCTACTGTGGCCCCCAGACTCTGGAGCTCTCTCCCCCTGAGCCTGAGATCAGTGGACTCAGTGGTCTCCTTCAAAAAGCAGCTGAAGACTCACTTGTTCAAGCTGGCTTTTGTATGACCTTCTTCACCTCTCTCTCTTTATTCTGCTCTCCCCACCTATTCCACCTTCCTCAGGATCCACTGATTTCCCCCTTTCCTGTTCACTCTCTCTTTCTTAACATTTTTTTCTTTTAAATCGCAATTGCTTATTCTTGCTCATTTTAAATATATTTTTAAACATTTTCGAAATGCTTTTTCATATTTTTACAATTTTTATATTTTTTGTTTTTGTGAAGCGCCTCGTGATTTTTATCGTGAGAGGCGCTATAGAAATGATACTTTCTTCTTCTTCACGCTAGTCTGTCAGGTGACAGAGGTCACCCTTCTGTCATGTGACCTTAAACCGTAATCTCGCGAGATCAGAATATGTGGGGTTTTTGAGTGAAAACGACATTTAGCGGCTAATGACAGCGTTCCGGTTCGGTGGGACCGGTCGAACCTCTACGGTACCGAAGGTCCCCGCGAAGGCCGGATGCCAGACTTTCTGCCCTGAACACGGACTCGTAAGTCGGTACCGACAGGAGAAAGTTCGGTTCGGTTTGGATCGTTCTTCACAGCCTTTAATTAAAACCGAGATGAAGCTAACTGTCCCCGGTCCCGGTGGACCAGCAGGTTTGGACCGTGCCCCGGTAACAAGCCGCCTGTTATACTCACGCTTGCGGGCTTCAGCCACCTTCTCGGCGGCTCTTTTCTCCGCCTGCAGCAGCTGCTGGATCCCCTGGGACTGACTCGCCATGCCGAGAGAACGAACCGGGAGCTGGATCTGAGGAGTCGGAGAAACACGGCGAAGCAACGAAGGTCGAACCTGAAGTGCTTCTTCCTCTGCTGTCAGCTGACCTTACGTCACCATGCGCTCTGTCACGTGACACTTGGGTATTTTAGACTTGTCCGCCATATTGGATGGGTTCCTCCCTCACTAAAGGTTATTATAGCGCCAAGTTCATCCCCAAGACCTGGCTGCAGACATAAAAACCTGCAGGGAAGACGTGTTGCTGCTAAATTAAACAGCCAATCGTAGAAGAGCGCCTCTAGCCAATCAGAGGCGAGAAAAGCAGAACATTCTTTGGACTTCCTATGAATCCAGATGACCCTGTTCTAACGTAAACACAGACATTTGTCTATGATTTTAAATCATTCCAACTTTATTTATAATTTCCATGTTAACACTCTGGAGAGTTTTAACCTCAGATCTAAAAGATGTGGTTCGACCTGGAAACAGCAACCTGTGGATCTTCTGTTTAGGGGCTGTAGAAGGTCAGAGAAGAACACTCTGAAGGGCACTGAGGAGGACACCAAGGTCACCTCTGTTCAGTTCCAGGTGTGACTCAGAGGGAGTGGACATGTTTATCTTAAGACCCACAAGAACACGCCAGAGGCGTGCTTCGCTGTAATAACTACAAGGTTATTGAGTCACCAATATATATATATATATATATATATATATATATATATATATATATATATACAGGTGCTGGCCAGTAAATTAGAATATCATCAAAAGGTTGAAAATATTTCAGTAATTCCATTCAAAACGTGAAACTTGTACATTATATTCATGCAATGCACACAGACCAATGTATTTCCGATGTTTATTACGTTTAATTTTGATATTTATAGGTGACAACCAATGAAAACATCAAATCTGGTATCTCAGAAAATTAGAATATTCTAAAGGCCAATGAAAAAATGTTTGTTTCTCTAATGTTGGCCAACTGAAAAGAATGAACATGAAAAGAATGTGCATGTATAGCACTCAATACTTAGTCGGGGCTCCTTTTGCCTCAATAACTGCAGTAATGCGGCGTGGCATGGACTCGATCAGTCTGTGGCACTGCTCAGGTGTTATGAGAGCCCAGGTTGCTCTGATAGTCGTCTTCAGCTCCTCTGCATTGTTGGGTCTAGCGTATTGCATCCTCCGCTTCACAATACCCCATAGATTTTCTATTGGGTTAAGGTCAGGCGAGTTTGCTGGCCAATCAAGGACAGGGATACCATGGTCCTTGAACCAGGTGCTGGTGGTTTTGGCACTGTGTGCAGGTGCCAAGTCCTGTTGAAAGGTGAAGTCTGCATCCCCATAAAGTTGGTCAGCAGCAGGAAGCATGAAGTGCTCTAAAACTTCCTGGTAGACGGCTGCATTGACCCTGGACCTCAGGAAACAGAGTGGGCCAACACCGGCAGATGACATGGCACCCCACACCATCACTGACGGTGGAAACTTTACACTGGACCTCATGCAACGTGGATTCTGTGCTTCTCCGCTCTTCCTCCAGACTCTGGGTCCTTGATTTCCAAAGGAAATGCAGAACTTGCTTTCATCAGAAAACATAACTTTGGACCACTCAGCATCAGTCCAGTCCTTTTTGTCCTTGGCCCAGGCGAGACGCTTCTTGCGCTGTTTCTTGTTCAAGAGTGGCTTGACACACGGAATGCGACACCTGAATCCCATGTCTTTCATGAGTCTCCTCGTGGTGGTTCTTGAAGCGCTGACTCCAGCTGCAGTCCACTCTTTGTGGATCTCCCCCACATTTTTGAATGGGTTTGTCGTCACAATTCTCTGCAGGGTGCGGTTATCCCTAGAGCTTGTACACTTTTTTCTACCACATTTTTTCCGTCCCTTCGCCTGTCTGTTAATGTGCTTGGACACAGAGCTCTGCGAACAGCCAGCTTCTTTAGCAATCACCTTTTGTGTCTTGCCCTCCTTGTGCAAGGTGTCAATGATTGTCTTTTGGACAGCTGTTAAGTCAGAAGTCTTCCCCATGATTGTGGTGCCTTCAAAACAAGACTGAGGGACCTTTTAAAGGCCTTTGCAGGTGTTTTGAGTAAATCAGCTGATTAGAGTGGCAGCAGGTGTCTTCTATATTCAGCCTTTTCAGAATATTCTAATTTTTTGAGATACCAAATTTGGAGTTTTCATTAGTTGTCACTTATGAATATCAAATTTAAATGTAATGAACATTGGAAATACATTGGTCTGTGTGCATTGCATGAATATAATGTACAAGTTTCACGTTTTGAATGGAATTACTGAAATATTTTCAACCTTTTGATGATATTCTAATTTACTGGCCAGCACCTGTATATATATATATATATATATATATATATATATATATATATATATATATATATATATATATATATATAAAATGAGCCTAAGTCTCCTCCCTTTCCGGTCATATCATGGGTCCTCAGAAAAAAGGGAAAAAAAAATACAAGTCAACGGGGCTAAAAATGCTATAGTACAAAAGTACAAATGACAGATTGTAAGCATCACAATGTCACTGTGTCATTGTAAGACTGAGTAACAAACAACAGAAAAAAGAAACATCATAAACTTGAACATTAACCAGAAAAGGCTACAAAAGAAGAAAAAGGCACTAATCTAATAGAGCTGAGAGATAATTTAGTAGATTTGTAGCATTTAACTTATCTATTTTTTAAGGGACTTAAAAAAATAAATTCAAGTCATTTTTGAAAAACAAAAAATTTGGATTCACTTTTAAAAAGCGACATTTATGAATGAAACATTTCTCTAAAATGATTAAATCGTTAACCAAGACGTGAATTTGCTTATCTTCATTAATACATCCAAACTGAATTATGTGAATAAAGGAACTGTGAAAACCTGTCCTGTGTCTTTACTAATCGCTCCCACCCGCCTCTCGTCTCCCAGTTACCCAAGGTCTCAGTTCCTCCTGTATTAAACCCTCCCAGTTCAGTGTTCCTCTTCTGTTCCGTTTCATTGTCTGCGTGCTTCTCATTCGCCTGCCTTTCTTTCCCCTGCATTTGGATCCTCACCTCAACCACTTGCCTCACCTGCAGCGTGACAGGAATATTGTCATTTATTTATTTGTATTGAAAGCCAGGGTTAGGATTATACAAATCCTTTAAAAAAATTGTTTACCACATTGTAATAAAGAAAGATGTTCCTGTGTTTCAATGTCGTTTTTACACAAGATGCATAAATTATCCTGTACATTAAATCTGATACGTTAAGCTCTTTGCTCAGATTTATACAATAAATGATATTAAAATGAATCTCTTTAATTTTAGGTAGTAAGGGATAAGCAAGAAAACATGCTCTTATAATAAATGTGTTTTCCTTTGGGAGAGGAAATAATGTATCTGACAAAGTTGCTCTAACAATGAATGATTACATTTTGGGTCTAAGAAACAAACATTATTTATAAATAATTTTGGAAGCTGTTGAATAATTGGATAATATTGTAAACTATCTCTGATCATCCGGATCACCTCGGGAGAAATGGCTCTAAGAACTCTAGAGTACTCCTTTAAGGTGCAGTCCACATCATCTTCGATCTTAGTCACCGTGGTCCAAGCATGTACCACCACCGCCCCCCACCAGGTGGACAACAGCCCAAACCTCTTTGTCCATCCAACTTTTATAAAAATTAGATTTTCTTTTATACAACACTAATCTGTTATTCCAAATGGTTGAAGTGTGTGGACTAAAAATGTGAGTAAATATAATTTTCCAGTAAAGTAAGAGCTGTTTGTGGAAATCAGAAAGTTGGATGGTTCATTTAAGTGGATCAAAATCACTTGTCAAAAGAAAGTCGATACCTCCAACATTCTAAAAAAAGACACGAGGGAATAGTAAACCAAACGGTATGTTTATCATCAATTAAATGTTTAGCCACTGTAGTTTAATATTACCATTCATTACCTTAAAGGCAAAGTCATTCATCCCACCGTCCTCAACTGGCTTCACTACATCATGTTTATGTCACGATGTGAGCCAGGAGGAGGTTTGGACCCAAACTGCAGAAACACCAGACGACACAAGGCAGGAGTTGTAGAAAAAAAGTAAAGTCCTTTATTGGGGATAATTGTCCAAAGTAAAAACTCCAAAGAGGGCAGGAAGCCAAAAACATAAATCCAAAATCCTAATACGTAAAATCCTAGAGACCAAGTGCTCCTTTAAAGAGCTAACCTGGAGATATCCAAAACTTAGAGAGGGAACGGGACAACGCTGACAACAAACAATGGACCGACAAAACAATGAGACACAGACAGGGTTTTATACACTGGGGAGGATGAGAGGGAGATGAGCTGCAGGTGTGGGGAGAGAAACCAAATGAAAGCAATTAACTAATCAGGGAGGAAACTAAGATGACCAAAGAGTAAAACCTAAAGACAAGAAGAGCAGCAAACATAACTAATATTCTAAGGGGGAGGAAAACCATAAACACCGGTGGGAAAAACACACTAAAGAAACTAATAAAATGAACCGCTGAAACTAAAGGAAAACACTACAGAAAGAAAAACTACAGGGGCGTGACTAAGGGGGACCACGGGAGCACTGGACCTGGGAGGGGGATACCTGGGGAGGGAAACCTAGAGGGCTGAAGATCTGGGGACAAATGAGGAACACAAGGAGACACATGAGGGAAACGCAGACAAGGACACATGAGGGCGCTAGGAGACACAAAAGGAGAACCTAGAGAGGGATGGAGAACACAAGGAGACACATGAGGGGAGACGCAGACCATGACAGTTTAAGAATTAAGTGTTTGTTATTCCAGATGAAGTCATCTTGTATTTTATGTATTTTATTTATATATGTGTCAGAGATAGCCACAACACACGTTGGAGGAATTAATCTTGAAATACTCTCCATTCTTGTTAATAGAATTCTTCCAAATATTGAAATATTTCTTTGCAGCCAACTACTTTTCACTTTTATCAGTGTCGTCTGCCTATTTAATTATTTGAAGTGAGTTTCCTGCCACAGATAAATGTTTGATAGTCTGATCCTTTTGAATCAATACTGTCAGCATTTCGGTTGCCATAATGAAGAGAAGTGGACTAACTGGATCTCCGTGTCTGATTCCTCTTTAGGAAACCTGGTTGTGGTTCCTGTGGGAAGTAAAACACAACTCCACATATCATTATTTAACATTGAAATTATATCAATACATTTATTTCCAAAACCAAAATATTTAAGTCTCTAATATAAACTGATGTTCCAGATTATCAACTATGCTTTGAAAAAAACTAAAATGGCTCCACTGTCTCCCATTACATTTTCATAATCTAACAAGTCTAACAAGTCTGACCAGACTGTCATGACTCCCAATCCTTCACCCTCCTCTGCCTCCTCATTTAGCCTTCAACCTTCATTCAGCTCACCTAGTCCCTTCACCAAGCTCCTGACAAGCCCTGTTTCCCCTGGCAACCATAATCAACTCCATTCATCTCACCTGTTCCTGTCATCAGCTTCATCCACTTCACCTGCTCCTGACTCCTCAGCTCATCACTCACACCTGCTTCCCCTGCTACAAAAGAACCAGCCATCCAGTAATTCAGTGCCAGATTAATGAAAGCCTTTGCAAGTAAATCTTCCAGCCATCCACCCTGCCTGATCGCAGCCTCCGGACCTCGTTTTTTCTCCTGACCCCTGCCTTGTACGTTGCCTGCCAGTACGACCTCCGCCTGTCTCTGTCTCTGTCTCCAGCCTCTTGTAACTCTGCATCAAATAAAGACGTTTTTTAAATCTACTTTTAGGGTTAGGGCTTGAGCACCTGCCCCTTTTGTCCAAAGTGCCCTTTTTCCGGTCGTTCATCAGATTTTACCGTACAAAACTGTTATACTGTGAAACCTATCGGGCACTAGGACCATGCAGAGGCAGCCGCCTCAAGCTGAAGCCTATTTTCCCTTAGATCCGCCTACCAGCTCACTGATTGGCTCTGCTGCATCATACTAACGTGTGATTGGTTGTCTCTGCTGTCGCTCTTCCTTGTAGCCATGGAGACGACAGATGTTTTGCCTGCGGGCAGGAGTCTGCGTTCATCTAACTGTAAGTTTTTTTTTTCTGCCTGCTTCACGTCAGCTGGATGGATTTTATTATCAGAGCTTTTGTTTATGTGCGTTTGAGTCCGTGGTTGGTGTGTGTGGAGCAGAGTCAGGTAGCTGCATGTCTGGGACAGAAAATGAGACATGAGAGAGACTTCTCCTGAAGCGTTGAAGAAACTCACAAAGAATCACAGATGTTGATATTTCTCACTCTAGATTCTCCGGGTCATAACTTCTGAATTACTAATCGAATAAAAATAATTCTAACAGTTTCTAAAAGTACATAAAGCGAGCTTTCCAACGCGGTATTACACAATGTAATTCATGTTACTCCAAAAATTGCTATCAGAGGTAAAGAAACGGAGCGAACCGCGACGGGAGAGCAGAGAACCAAAGGGAGAAGATAGTCTGATCATCTTCATCAGCAGCTTTTATAAAGTTACGGAAACGTCACAAATAAAATGCATCTGGTGGTCAGGTGTCCCAGAAGGCTGTTTCTGTAGATGGTGACATGAGGAGGGACAGATTACAGTCACACTGGTTTATATTTGAACACTCAACTGTTAACTAAATGATTCAGCTTCATTCCAGCATTATTTATACGTACAATAAATATTTATTTAGATGAAAATGTAATTATCAGTGCAGAATTTTATATTTGACTTTTTGTAATGAAACGTTTACATTTAACCTTTTATCTGGCATATTGATCTTCATGATGCTGGTAGAAATGTAGCTACAGTTGTGAAGTAGCCCATGAGTGTTATTTTATGATTCCTAGTATTTATTTTACTGTATCCCGTTCTCTGGACCAGAGCGTAGACCTGTGGTCACAGACACGCTGCAGTCATTAAACTGGTAATCGTGAGGCCAGGGGTCACACTGTTTTCCGAGTGTTTGCAATACAGTTCTGAGTTTAAATTGTTCTATTGACATAGTTTGCTCAAGTCATTTTGAAGTTCCTGTTTAGTAATAAATGTAAAGAAAATTCAAATCCATTTTTTCATTTAAGCTGCAGAATAAACACTAAATACAAATCAGAAAGCTGAGGTTGTTCTGAAAAAAGGAGCAGAGTTACAAACATTTTGCACTTTTATTACAATTTTAAAGCCGTGAAACAAAAAAAAATACCAGTTATATTTATGGTCATAAGAGGGTTAAACGTGATAAATTTTCCGCCTCCCACAAAGATGGTAAAAGTGAATGTGAGCATAATTATATACATTTAATTACTTATGTATTTTTTTTATTATTGACTATTACTCCAAAGGGTTCAGATGAAGGCAACTGGACTTCTTTGGTTTCTTTAAAACATTTCACTTCTCCTCTGAGGAGCTTTGTCAGTTCTAACTGGAATATGGGAGAGTCAAGTTTATAAGCTGTAACTGTCTGTTGTTGTTTAACGAGCAGAAACTACTCTGAGTACCCCGCCTCTCCATCTCCTGATGAGTCGTTAGCCTCTATTGGTGGTAAGTCATCATGTTGATTAGATGCAGGAAGGTGTGACCTAGACTGAAACTGAATGAGATTCAAAGCTACATTATCGGTACTGAAAGGTGAAATCTAAGCCCCGCCCCTATTTAAAGTGGGTTTTCCACGTTTGACATAGATAGCTTCTTTTACTCCTCTCTCAAATCATCTGTCTTCTCTGTCCAGAATATGGACTTTGTCATCTTCAAAGGTGTGTCCCTTGTCCTTCAGGTGGAGGTGGACTGCAGAGTTTTGACCTGAAGAGGTGGCTCTCCTGTGTTGTGTTATGTTCTTGTGTAATTGTTGTTTAGTTTCTCTAATGTAAACATCTGGACAGTGCTCCTACACTGGACTGCATAAACGACCCCACTGAGCTTCTGTTTGGGTGTTTTGTCTTCTGGATGGACCAGGTTCTGTCTGAGGGTGTTGTTAGGTTTAAAGTTTACCGGGATGTTGTGTTTGGAGAAGATTCTTCTAAGTTTCTCTGAGACTCCTGCCACGTGTAGGATGGCGGTGCCTTTGTGTAAATGATGTTGTTGTTAGGTTGGTAGCAGAACTCTCATGTTTAGTGTTAAGTTCAGTGAGATCATGGAATGGGATCAAGAATTTTCTACTGACAGGAAAAAGATCTCAGCTAACATAGCTGTAGATCACACTGGATAGCTTTCTGTGGTTGCATTTAACAATTATTTTACTACCTCTTACTAGAGCTGTCCTTAGTAGGCGCAAAATATCTTTGGTTGTACACCTGTGCAATAGCAATAAATTATCTTGATTCCTGTTAAATGTACTTCCTGAATGAGTGACCTTTTCAGGCTAAAATAACAAAAACAAATACAGACAGAAGGACGACTTCTTTCTTCTTTTATAATGCATTGCATCACCACCTGGTATCAGAACAGGACTCAGTATTGGAAGATAATCAAAAATCAAACAACTTGGACTTGGATCAGGGGCAAAAATGTGGATGTAACATCTCTAAGTATAAGTCAGCTTTAAAAACTATAACTATTATTTATGAATTAACATTAACACTAATGACTCTAATTGATACATTTTTATTATGTTGTTTGAGCCCAAGGGTCTCATTATCTGAATATTCTAACTTGTTGGATTGCTCTTTAAGTGCCCCCTTTTTTTTTTTTTTTTTTACTTTGAGCCCCCGCGCCGTCAAAGGTCTTTGCACGGCCCTGCTTGCACACATTATCTACCTCACAAAATATAAAAGCTGTAAAGACACTGAAAATATGTTCTGATTATAATATCATAATGACTTTGCTCTGACCTGGACGACTTTAAACATGTATCGTTATTCTATTCTCTTTCTTCTTTTATTTATTTCAACCAAAATTGGCAAATATCAGGTTTTGTATGTCAACAAACCCCTGGCACCTCCTGTTGATTCATGTTATATTTTTGTCACTAATTTGTTTTCGCTTGTTTATCCTCTTTGTAATTCTGCTACAAGTTGGAAATAATGTTTGAGGGGAAAAAACTACAAGCGCTGCCTCCATTTGACCCAGAAACCTGATTGAAGGCTGGATTCAAAGGAAGCAGCAGCTAGCTGCTAAACAACTAGGTAATTTATCTCGGTGAAACAGGTGATTTAGAGATTTGTCTACAACTGCCATGAAGACACGTCTGGTTCAGTCTGAAGGTGGGAGCAGCAGGAGGGGACTGCTTAGTTCACACAGCGAAACGGGAAGAACAGAGCAACTGTTCTTCTTCACCGACCTTCGTTCTCTCTTTTTTTTTTCTTCAAAACTTTATCCATCGTTATCTTAATGATTTTTTCTGTCCTGTTTTAGACCACTCCCCAGGCTCCTCCCCCTGTGCTCGCCGAAAGCCGTCCGGTGAGCTCGGACGGAAGCCGCGGAGGACCAGTGAACGGAGCAGGAAAGTGGGACAAGAACGGCGAATACCGTCTTTTAACAAAGTATTTTTTGGCTCGGTGTTTCCGGGTCAGAACCGGGCTTTAGACGCAGCAGAAAACCGGAGTGGGATTTCCAGGTGAGGTCCTAGCGTAAGTCACGGTGTTTGGGCTCCTTGTACCGTACAGCCCAATTGGCGAGCTGACCTGCTGTGTTTTTAAACTATTGCTACAGTATGCGTGCTTCATGCAAGCGTGTCAGTGACCTCTACCTCCTCCCGGTTCTGTGCCGGGGGGGGCTCTGCGAGAAACAGAAAGCCTTGTTAGAACCGGACCGGTGTGGCTACTCAAATCGCTCTTGTTCTTCAAGGCCACCGTGTCAAGTGCTACGTCACGCGGCGCGTGCGAGGCCTTAACTGACCTCAGATCAGAATGCAAAGGCCCAATCCCAATTGTCCACCCCTGCGTTGTTCTGACCGGCAAGTAAAGCCTGGTTTATGCTTCTCCGTCAGCTCCGCAAGGGACAGACACGCACGGATTGACGGAAGCGTTTTGCTCTTTTACTTCTCCGTCTCCTGGAGAGTGTTGCAAAGCAATTGCCCGGCAGGACAACAGAGGGCGTAGCGCTGTTCTGTGGTATCCTGTCACGTATCGGTCCAAGATAGTGTGTTTATATTGTGTTTTTTGTGTTTATAAGAGACTTTTAACACGGACATATTTGTCTCTCATTCTCCCACCGCTTCATGCGCTCCCCACCTCTAAACCCACGTTTCCTGTCATTTCCATCCACAAATAAAATGCTTGCTGCGCATCTTTTCACCCCTCCAGTCACGGGAGGATGAAACGTTCATATTTTTAGAGTTTTTTCGCGAGGTATTCTTCAAGCTGCTCCGTGTCTGCCGCTAGTTATCCTCGGCTCTCTTTGCAATGGCGGCGCTGTAAACAACAGCGGCGTCCTGACCAATCACAAGCTTGCGTCATCCGTCTCGTTCGACGGATGTTTAAAAAAGTGGGCTCGACTCCGTACGTACTTGCGTGCCCTACGCAAGGACGGATAATGGCGTTGCGTGTCTCCGCACTGACGCAGACGGAGAAGCATAAATCAGGCTTAACGGTCATCTACTTCCGGGTCATAGGTCTCAGAAGAATGAAAAAAGCGATGCAATCATATCCCCTTCCCCCTTTGTGACGGGGCGTTGCAGTGTCAGCGTGTTAAATCAACTATAACTCCTTGAATTCTGTTGATTCCCCTGCAGACTTCACACGTGTAGCTCTGGTACAGGACACATGTTTTAGCGTTTGTAATAACAGTGGGTTTGCTGTGGGTACAAATGTGACTCTGGTCCAGAGCTTAGTGTCAAAAAAGGATCAAACACTAAAAATCTGTCAAACAACGATAATCAAAATTATTTTAAAAAGTTCATACAACAGGTGTGTGAGATCTGTGGCAGGCAGTATGTTTAAAAAACACACAATATATGACAAAGCAGAAAATACTACTCAGCCAATTTAATAAACGATATATACAATATAATTCTTATAGATAACAATAGAAGTGTTTGAGTAATTCATAAACATATAGTGTCAGTATAATTCAGAGAGGGTGAGAGAGAACAACTAGAACAAAGTCTGGATGACAAGAACATGACAAACCATCCTCCAGAACTGGTAGTGATGTTCTGGTTCGGTCGGATTTTTGTGTGTCTCTCCCTTTCTGCAGATCTAGAAGCTGCTTCTTGTTCATCCTTTGTTTATATTTGTGAACTCTCCCCATCTCTTCCTCTCCTCCACTCTCTTTAATTTCTGTCTCCGTCTCCGTTGGGTTTACAAACAACCAAAAGCATCTCTAATAAAGTTTAGATATCTAGTGGAGGATTACAGCGATAACGCTTTTGGTACTCAGACATCAGTTCTGGTTGCTTTACAGCCTGACAGGACACAGGAAGAGAGGGGAAAGGACCGACTGCTTAAAGGAGTTAATTTAATTAGTTTAGTCTTCATTTATCTGTTACTTGTGTTGAGAATTTTTTAAATACTAACTGAAGCTTTCCATGAGCTAAAACCCCTGAGAGAGGACTGCATGTAGAACTTTTATCCGGAGCTCCTCTTCTGCAGTTAGAGAGGCGAGATCGGCCATGTTGGGCTGCCTTCTTTTCAGAACCACCGACTTAACCAATGACATCACTTCTGACGGCCGCAGCGTTCAGCTGGATTATCATATCCAGCTGGTAATTACAACATCTTACTCTCTTTGACACTGAATGTGCTACTACTAGTTTACCCGTTTAATTATAGATCCACTAGAATAAATACAATAAAGTTTATCTCTCACCAAATAGAATATTTGCTAAGAAATCACAATGTAACCATAGAAACATTACTTGGTGTGTGTGTGTGTGTGTGTGTGTGTGTGTGTGTGTGTGTGTGTGTGTGTGTGTGTGTGTGTGTGTGTGTGTGTGTGTGTGTGTGTGTGTGTGTGTGTGTATCAGAGTGCGTGTGCATGTGTGCGTATCAGAGTATCTGTGTGTGTGTATATATATCTGTGAGTGTGTGTGTGTGTGTGTGTATATCAGAGTGTGTATCTGTGTATATCTGTGTGTGTGTGTGTGTGTGTGTGTGTATCAGAGTGCGTGTGTGTGTGTATATCAGAGTGTGTATCTGTGTATATCTGTGTGTGTGTGTGCATGTTAGAGGTGGATCTATAAGGATATCAAGAGTTTTCCTCCATATCTGGTGTTTCTGCGGCTGCTGGAGGTTCTGAGCGAAGTAACGAGTCGGGTCAACATGTCCCTACGGCGATCCCCGACCTTAAAGTTAAAGCTAATCATGTTGTGATTTAATTGAAGTGCTCTGATAGGTCATTTTTAGAAGTCCTAGCCTTGAGGCCCCATGGCCAATCAGATTACAGTAGAGAATCTGCTCTGTGATGTCAGAGAGTTACCATGGATACAACTATCAGGGAGGTTTACTGTTGGCTACACTGTCTGCAGCGCTTAGTGCGTTTGACTCTGAAGATCAGAGAGGGCAGCAGGTAGGAGATCAGCTGTGTGTTCACTTTTCTGTTTCTGTTTACATGTGGGTGATGAACCTGGTTTGTCTTCTAACCCTAACCCTGACCAGGGTCATTACTCATTAAGGGTTAACCCTGACCAGGGTCATTACTCACCCAGGTGAGGGGCTAACCCTGACTAGGGTCACTACTCATTAAGGGTTAACCCTGACCAGGGTCACTACTCATTAAGGGTTAACCCTGACTAGGGTCATTACTCATTAAGGGTTAACCCTGACTAGGGTCATTACTTACCCAGGTGAGGGGTTAACCCTGACTAGGGTCACACCCCATAATTTGTAGCTGTCCTCAGCTGATCCTGATGGAATTTCTTTTGCAGCAGTCATGGATCACATGAATCACAGCATGCATCATTCTATGGCTCCGCCCACCAGCACTGACCACAACCATGGAGGAGGAGGAGGAGGAGGCCATGAAGGTCACGGAGGGATGGTGAGTAAAATGTCATCAGGGCTTCAGGTTCCCTTTTACTGAGTACTAGCTACACGTATGAAAGTGCAAACAAGCTAGCTTTGGGGCTGGGCGATGGAACCATGGAGACTTTTCCTCGATCGACAGATAAGAGCGCTTCGATAGAAGCTTTGATCGAAGGACCGATGAACAGCCAATCAGATTAAGTGTTGTTCCATGCTGGACTACCCATTGGCTGGAATGGAGCTGTGCAGCATTCAAATGCGCTAACAGCTAATGCTTGTGTAGTTTTAGCCTCCTGCTGCAGGTAACAGGTAGGACATGGCTGCAACAAAGTGAGCGTCCTGAGTAGGGATGCACCGATACCGATACTGGTATTGGCATCGTATCGGTGCAGATACCGATACCAGTGTCAGTATCGATGAAAGTTAACCGATACCAGGAACCAATACCAATGCAGTTGCTTGAAAATGGCTTCACTGTAACTTGTCATTTCTGTTCACCTAATATTTTAGTTTTGTGATGATTTCCATTCATATATTTTACTTTTTATCTACTTCACAGTCTTTTCCTGTGCAGAGAAGAAAATAAAATCTGTATTCCAAATCATTGCCTTTTTTAGTATGGTAGAGTATCGGTATTGGTAATCGGTATCGACGAGTACTCAGATCCAAGTATCGGTATCGTATCGGTTTGGAAAAAAGTGGTATCGTTGCATCCCTAGTCCTGAGAAGGAAAGAAAAGGAGGACACAACCAGTCATTCATCCGTTCACTCACTGGTGGTGGTGAGCTACATCGTAGCTACAGCTGACCTGAGACACAGAAATGTGATTGGACTCTTTGCTTCTAACATGTGTCTTGTTTAATTTTCTATGATGTTTTATTTTGTGTCACAACAAGAACAAACACTTCTGCATGTTCACATCGAATCTGTTACTGCAACTGTTCATGTGGTTGCCTAGGTGATGACCTTCTACTTTGGCTACAAGAATGTAGAGGTGCTGTTTGCTGGGCTGCTCATCAACTCACCTGGAGGTGTGTGTCACCAGTACCCCCCCCCCCCCCCCACACACACACACACACACACACACGTGTATTAGGCATAATCCCTGAACATAAAGCTGAGTAGCGTAGCTAGTGTTTGTTTATATTTTCACTATAATTGACTAAATAAACAAGCGCTCTTTAGACCTCTTCATTGTTTCCTAATGTTTAAAACTTAGAAAACAGAGTTGAATCTTTTCCGTTTTTCTACTTTTTACTTTTGAATTGTGTTTAAATTTTATTCTGTGTTCCAATGCAAACTCCTCCCCCTGCTGCTGTTGACCAATTAGAGATGGTTGGGGCTTGCATTGGTGTCTTCCTGTTGGCTGTTCTCTACGAAGGCCTGAAGATCGGCCGTGAGGCGCTGCTGCGTCGCAACCAGGTCAACGTGCGCTACAACTCCATGCCACTGCCAGGAAGCGATGGAACGGTGCTTATGGAGACGCACAAGACTGTTGGGTGTGTTATGTCACACACACACGCATACACACACATGTATGCACAAACGCATGCACACACGCATACACACACAAATACACATGCACAAACACATGCACGCACACACACGCATACACACACACAAATACACATGCACGCATACACACACATGCACAAACGCATGCACGCACACACACACACACACACACGCATACACACACACACACACACACACACACACACACGCATGACATCCTTCTTCAGCTGAGGGACTTCCGCCCAGGGCGGGTGGTGAGGTAACGTTTTCGTATGGTGGCATTTTAATCCAACACCAGTTTTACACGACGGCGTCAGAAGTATAGGAAAAGTAGGGTTGCATGGAGGGGAGGGGCAGGGGCGCGTCCTCCCCAGAAAAGAAGTTTAATGAGGTAGATGACGTCATTTCCTGCATTCTAGTGTATTTGAACAGGTTATGGAGTTATAATTAGGCCTAAATGATTGTTTTTAAGCAACCAGAATTGAGATTTCAGAACTAAAACAATTATCAATAAATAACATGAAATGAAATGTTTGGCTTAGTTTATTTAGTTTGAACCCAATCTTCTGCTTAATGCAGAAAATAATAAAGCATAAAAAAACATAAACTTCTAATAATATTTGAGATGTTTGTTTTGTTCTAGCTGATAAAAATGACACCAGCAGGAGGCTGTGGGCTGAATAAGGGTTCAGATATATGACAACCAAAAATAATTTTGTTACCTGGATGGGATGGTATTCAAAGGAGTTGTATTTAGTGATGGGTAGCAACTGACTGTATATCCATTTGTTGTAAATTAGCGTGCCCGTTCCACCACCTCGGCCAGATGCACGAGAAGTGTGGGAGAAAGTGTGGTTAACTGAGAGAGCAGATGGGGGTAGCATTGTCACATGGTTTGATCCAGGTCTCAGTGAGAGCCAGTGCATCGAGTAACAGGTGGTTTGCATATGCAGTAATGAAGTCTGCTTTGTTTACAGCCGATTGGCAGTTCCAAAGTCCATAGACAGGTGGGTGTCTTCGAGAGGGGGGGGGGGGGGGTGTTGGTTTTAACGAGCGGAGGTTTTGAAGGTTGCGAAAGCGGTTTGCTGTGTGTGACCTTCCTCTGAAGCCAGTGATCACAGGTACAGGATAATGGCACGTTTTGCAAGGTGTCGATGGAGCAGCGTCTGGGTCGAGTTTGTTTGCTCTGTGGACACGCGCAGGTAGACACGTATGTCTTTACCCCGGAGTGTCCACACCGGAGGGGCTGAAACACAAGGGCTGACGCTTCAGTTGTGCAATCAAACTTGTGCTGTGCTACTAGTTGGAAACAGGTGTTCATGCAGCAGCTGATTGCAATGGTTGAGACCTAGATCACCTGATCAGTGTTTTCAGGGAGGGGAGAAACGGCTCATTCACAGCCGCTGATGGCACTTAATGTTTTCAGTTGGCCCAAACCGGAGCTACTAGACAGCAGGATTACTCACAGATGAGTTTCCTTCTCTTTCCCAATGGAAGCTAGTGCAAAGCAAAAGTTTAAGAAGACAAAAACAAGCACTAACCGACACTCAAGGCCCTTCGGTGCAGATTTAAGTCTGTTTGAAAGTGCTTGCAGTTGCTTTTTAAGCTTTGCTTCAGGTGAGAGGACAGCCCACCTAGATCACCTGATGAGTGGTGAATAATAGTCCTTCCCCTACAACTAGCAACTGCTACCGCACCGAGGAGTTGCAGAAATGAAGCTCACACGTTTTAAATGTTTTCCTTGTTTTGTTACTGTTTGATGAGTTACAGCAGCTGTAGCGCCGACATATTTTGTGTCAGGCTGAGACGCGATGATACGCTGGTATAGTATTATACAGGTGATCCCTCGTTTATCGCGGTAGATGCGTTCCAGACCTGGCCGCGATAGGTGAAAATCTGTGAAGTAGGGACACCATATTTACAGTACAGTACTATATTGAATTATCGTATGATCACATTCTCTTTTTGTGGATAAAACTCAAGAAAAAAAATTTTTACTTGGTTTTTTTATACTTTTAATACAAAAAGTGCATTTTATGATGAAATTGATGAAAAAAACTGGAATTTCTTGATATTTCGCGTAGAAAAATGCCGCGAATCGGCAAATTTCCCTTGAATAAGGCTCCAAAGAAAAAATCTGTGAAGTCGTGAATCCGCGATAAACGAACCGCGAAGTAGCGAGGGATCACTGTAAGTGTAAAAGCTCTGACCAGTTTCATGTCAACTTGAGCTAGTTTCATGACATGAGTAAGTCTTTGGGAACCAGCTTGTCCAGGGCACAGATGAGGATCTCGGTGAGCTAAAAACTAGTTACTCCTTTAGGAAAGCTGCAGACATCTGGTCAAGGGTTAGGCTTTATTAATCCTTTTAAGAGTTTAGAGTCCCACTGTCTGTAGTAACATTACACATCTTTGTGTGTGGTTCTATAAAATACAAATAAAATTAAGTACTAAAATTAGAATCATCTGTAGAAATACAGGTCCTTCTAAAAACATTAGCATATTGTGATAAAGTTCATTATTTTCTGTAATGTACTGATAAACATTAGACTTTCATATATATTAGATTCCTTACACACAACTGAAGTAGTTCAAGCCTTTTATTGTTTCTAATATTGATGATTTTGGCATACAGCTCATGAAAACCCAAAATTCCTATCTCAAAAAATTAGCATATTTCATCCGACCAATAAAAGAAAAGTGTTTTTAAACAAACAAAGTCAACCTTCAAATAATTATGTTCAGTTATGCACTCAATACTTGGTCGGGAATCCTTTTGCAGAAATGACTGCTTCAGTGCGGCGTGGCATGGAGTTAATCAGCCTGTGGCACTGCTGAGGTGTTATGGAGGCCCAGGATGCTTTGATAGCGGCCTTAAGCTCATCCAGAGTGTTGGGTCTTGCGTCTCTCAACTTTCTCTTCACAATATCCCACAGATTCTCTACGGGGTTCAGGTCAGGAGAGTTGGCAGGCCAATTGAGCACAGTTATACCATGGTCAGTAAACCATTTAGCAGTGGAGGAGGACACGGGGGTGTATGGGGTTGGAGGAGGAAACGAAAGAAAGAAAGGCATTGTTTTATGATCGGTTTAATTTGACAAACTGTCATGTTCTGTGTCCCTGTGGTCCCCAGCCCCTTCCAGGTTTCCCCCATGTTCCCCTTTAGTCACCTCACTTCATATTTAGTTTTCCATCTCCATTATGAAGGTCCCCAGTATTAGATCTCCCCTTTTGGTTCTTGTCTCTAGTGTCAGGGTTATTAGTTCTCCTATCTTTAAGTGTTGTACGTTTATAGTATTTAGATTAGTTCCCCCTTTAGTGTTTTATGTTCCTTCCCCACTTAGGCCTAGTCCACACGTAGCCGTTTTTTTTTTAAACGAATATCCGCCCCTCCAAAAACTTGCATCCACACCACCTCGTTTTAAATAAAACTCTGTCCACACGTACCCGGATAAATACGTTGTTAAGGACATGCCAGACCTGTAGGCGGCAGTACTTCCCCCGTTCTTAACCTCGTCCTTCGTCTGTGGTCTTCCGCAAGGAGCAGTAATTCCTCTTGCAAAAACAAACAAACAAAAAGCGCTTGGACAATTGATAAAGCGAGTACAGCTCTGAGGGCATCCATGATGCCGGCTAGTGTAAACACAGGTCGCACACGTGATGTCAGCATTTTTTTGTCGCGGAAAGTGACGTTGCGGACCTTAAAACTCCGGTTTTGTCTGTCCACACGCAGACACCCAAAACGGAGAAAACGCAGATCTTCACTTTGGCCGGAGTTTTTAAAAAGATTCATTTTCGTGTGAAAAAACTCAGTTTTCATGTGGATGACAGGCCAAAACGTAGAAAAATATCTACGTTTTGGCAGATCCCCGGCTACGTGTGGACAGGGCCTTAGTTAATTAGTCTCTCCTGCCTCCCTTCAGCTCTCACTCCCCACACCTGCTACCTGTTTCCCTGATTGCTTTCCTCTGTGCATAAAGCCCTGTCCTGTCTCTCAGTGTTTGTTGTCCGTTTTCCTTGTCGGCGTTACTTGTTCCTCCTGTGCTCTCGTGTTGACTCAGTAAGTTTTCGATCCCTAGTTTGTTTCCTGTGTTCTTACTGAGCCATTTTGGATTTAGCCCTTTTTGACCTGCTCAGCTCCTGAAATAAAGATTCTGATTTTTGCAATTACTCCTCGCTGTGTTGTCCTGGGTTCCTGTATTTGGGTCCAAACCTCCTACATAACGTGACATAAACACGGCAAAAGCACTTTCTTGACAATCCTTGTCATTGTGTGCAGGGAAAAAAAGTGTGGAAATAAAAACGACTGACATGTGTTAATAAGGAAATTGCTGGTGAGCTGTGTTAATGCATGTTTGCACATGCGTCGTGAGCGGTTCTGGTACTTTTTGGGCCGCAGTCTTTCGCAGTGCTGCTTCAACAGTATGATATCTTCACGAGGGACGAGCAAAATATCAAACACGCCAGAAATCCGTGCAAACTCATGATTGCTGATCGGTAGTTGGTCACTTGGTGCTAATTGCCTCTTGTAACTCCCCGTATACTACACGACGCTCATCGCAGAACTCACCCCGATCTTGTAGATTCTCTCACAACATGAAAATTGGTTCAAAAAAGTGAAAAAGTCAGACAGTGTTTGTCCGGCTTTAGACATCTCATGAGGCTTAAAGAAGATGTACAGTTGGATGTCAGCTATGGCAAGCCAAATGAGCATTTATTCTGATATCAGGATATCAGCCAGAATTGCCATGAACATGTAAGCCATTTCTGTCTACTAGTTAACTAGTTAGACATGTTTGTGTCAACTAGTTAAATATCGAGGGTGAAAATGTGCCCACTAGTTAACTAGTGACAGCAGAAATGCGCACTAGTTAACTAGTGAACACATTTAGGCTTCAGTAGTTAACTAGTTGACACAAAAACTGCTCACTAGTTAACTAGTAAAAGCAGAAATGCATAGCAGTCAGCTACTTGAAGGTATTTGT